AGAAAACATCTATTTCTTCCTACCTCTTTCAATCTATTAATTTCTACCACTAACATTATGAACCGGTCTCGCACAAAATACTATAGTTTTTTGTGCTGCTCCGCATGTATTTTTCCATTCGTTATTTAAAAGTGGATTCTGGAAGAGTAATGTGCACCACGTGCAAACCCCACCCAAGTGAAGAGTCTTTTGACCATTCCCTCCCCACTGTTTACTCTCCCACAGGGTCTCCTGTTAGCACTATTACCTCCCCTCTTAAACTGCCAGCAGTGCACCTCAGCCCAACACAAGGGATTTCAGTCAGCACTTTATTCTTCTGTAGGTTTCTACTCTCAGACAACTACAGTTAGAGACTATTAGAGTTTAAGGTCATCATTTATGCTGTGTAATGAGTTGCTCACACAACAGAATGAAATTAATGCATAAAAACAATAGCTATGCCCAGCGTAGTGCTAATACAAAAGCAGACCGTGAAAACTGTTTACTGAAACTGTCACACTTAAAAATGTCAAACTTTTTTTGCTGATTAAGGGAAAAAAGTATATAAGTATTACTGCCAAAAGATGTAATGATGTCTAAAGGGGAAAAGGAATCCTATTTGGTCATGAAAATCTCATCTTGATTTACACTGATGGTTGTTCTGATGCTTCCATCTGACCAATAAATAAACAAAATAAGATTTGTACCAGACCACAAATAGCTAAATGCCACTTTATAAGGCCAATAATGCGATAGAACTGAAAGCAAAACAGCCACGAAATGGATCTTGTGGTGAGACTGTTTTTGTGAAAATTATTAGCTTTAAAGGCTAAGTATCAAAGAAAAATTGATATTTTCTCTTGATTAGACCATTCTTCGCTAGAGTGAACCCTGTATCATTATACCAGATGACAATTTTTTCAAGTGCAGTTTTGAAGACAGTCTGTTCCTCCAAGAATTTGATGTTGTTTACATTTTTCACAGGCACAAGCATAAAACTAATGGTGCACGATATATTTTTACAGTAATGACCGGGAAGGTACACACTGCTATGTAGGTGCAAAGAATGAGGTGGCAGAGTGACAGAGACAGAGGCTGACTCATCTCCACCTTCTCTGCGCATGTGAAGTTACCATGGCACAGAGGAAGATCATCCTACTGTATATCTCAGTGCACAATCTGGAGATAATGGTAAATTTGGCAGAGGCAATTAGGCTTTAGTAAGAAAGGTAAAATCTGGCAGTGGATACAGAAATTAAAATCCAAAATATCAACCAGGAAATTGTGTTTAGTCTTGTGAATTTTGTGTAGTTTAAGATTTCAAAAAATATAGGGTAGACAATTAGGGTAGTGCAGAACAAATACAGTTCCTATAATTTTTGACAATTTCTTAATATCTTATTGGTTGTTCCTTCAGTAATCTAAAATTGTAGTGAAACCAATTTTAGCCAATGATCACAACCACAGATTCTGGCGACAAATGATAAAATCAATCACAAATCACACCCTCTATATTAAGTAGTAGATATGTTATGGTCTATCAAGCAATTAGAAATAACAAATCTGTCATTTAAATTGGATATCTAGTGACACACATCTACAGACACTCACTCTATCTATTGAATACTCAGTGGGTCAAAGTTAGTCCCTGCTGGCTAGGAGTGGTACTACACTGAAGGGTTGTTGTATGAGATCCTGGTACGTTATGCATCCTCATTTTATGAGGTGTAGCCTGACTAGGAGCAGGATGCCAGAATACAAATGGCTGTTTTGAGCCAAAAACAACTTTCTTGTGTCAGATAAACAAGACATTCTGGTAAAAAAAAAGTAAGCTATGGACTCCCACTATTTGCAAAGCTTTTTCTCTACAGGGTGTCCTGTACTATTCAGCAAGGGCAAACGGAGCCTCTCATTACAGAGACCAACGATTAAAATGAGAGCAAAATGGGGCCCATTACCACAAGGGCGTGACTAATATCCCTCAAAAGCCCTTTCCACGCATATACTACTCATGTTTAAAACACACGCATTCACAAAAAAAGTTGCACAAACTGGGACGCTTGTGAATCAGAAACAAAGAGAGGAGGAAGTTGGTCATAAACTTTGGCTCTATTAAAGTGACCAGATCTTGAGCTGCACAGTAAGGGGTGTCTGGCTCCTAAAACCATATGAACTTATTATTGTTTGTACATCCCCAATCATCCATGGTGCCATTACTTCTCAATGGAACCACAGCTAAGCCTTTTTGTGCCCACTTAAAGCCCTTCTCACTTGTTTTCATTCTTCTGTCATCATCTGTATCAATTTGATTCTTCCCATAAATTATTCTGCTAAAATGTTCCTTATTTGCATTTTTTAAATAAATAAATAAATACAGCTGTAACTTAAGTTTAAATGTTATGTTTTAATTACTGTTTGTACAAAATTGTTACACACTGGTAATAGGAGATAAATTGCCTATGGTTGCAAATATATAGATTTAAAAATCAAATTAAACTCTGCAACCTTAGAGTTTAAGTAATGTAAACTGCATTGTTTTGTAAAAGAACATTTTCAACAAAAGTTGAAACATAATGCCTAATGAAATTCAATACATTTATCTTAGGTTCAATATGTAAATTTTCTTTATATGCAATAAAAATAAATTATTACCTATGCTGTCAAAAGACATTTTTGTGCAGTACTTTCATTGTAACACATACTGCACTATGAAAGGTACCATCAGATGTAGGAGCCAGAGTCTGAAGTAGATTTTAGTTCCCAATATACGAACATCCGACTTACCAACATTCGTAAACTACGAACAACCGTTGACTGATGTCCATAAATGATCGTAAAATGCCCTATTGTGTTCGCAAGTTTTGTACTATCTATCTATCTATCTATCTATCTATCTATCTATCTATCTATCTATCTACCTATCTATCTATCTACTGTATCTATCCGACTGGTTTCCCTTTCTGCCACAACCCGCATACACGCATCTCCAACACTCATCTCCCTCATCTCGCTCAGTTCGTTCTTACACGTGTCTCTGTGAGCATCTCAGCGGGTCAGGCTTCATACACCCTTGGATACTTTACCGTTACCCTACAAGTTAACCTTATGTATAATGGCTGATCTCCAGCGACGACCTCTGCAATGACAACTCTGCCTCTCACCAACAATAACTCCTCCCTCCTTCACCTCTTCCTCCTCCACCATCTATGTACAGTATGCACATTAACTTCGCTCTAAAGGTAAGTTACAGTATGGTACTACAGTATATTTTTATTTTCTTTTTATTACTGTATAACTGTGTTTATGAGTTGTTTTTAATGTCCTGTAATTGTTTCTGGTAAGTCTTAGGGAATAGAACATTTTCTTATGAACAATTCAGCTTACAAACAGCCTCTCGGAACCTATTGTGTTCGTAAGTTGGGCACTGTCTGTAGACATCTTTTTTTTTTATTTGAACATCCACTTAATTCAATTTGTTTGTCATTTGCATGAAAGACATGTACTTGTGTGCATCCACAAGTCTGCGCCATCCCATGATTACATTTGTCAAAACTTTGAGTGTACGTTTCTATGCTCCAGTTGTGTCTTCATCTGTGATTTAACCAAATCTGTGGATAAAGACAGAATGGGCTGAGCAGAAATTAGACTGTTGAAGTAATATAAAATACACCTGGTCCATCCACAGGGCACTTTCTATACACAGTGAAAAAGGGAGGGGTGAGAAACTTAGGAGGAGGAGAAGAGATGAGAGAGACAAGGGGAGAGAGAGAAGGTTCTGAACACAGAGAAGAGAGGGTTGGATAGAAGAAGGGGGAGGGGTCATGCAGTGTTTCCCTTCAGGATGGCTTTTATGGTGTAACACCCCTCCTCTTCCCCAACACAGCCCCCTGCTCCCTCACTCCATCCGCTCCACGGTTCTTCCCTCCCTCCACTCTCTCACAATTGTGTATGACCAAGTGTACAGTAATTGGCTATTCTTTCACAAGCCTGATTTCAGCACTTTCTTTCTTCTCACAGGAAGAGGCCTTTTGCTGGCCCCTTTAGAAGCGGGAGTATTCATCTGCATGTGTGTGTATATTGAAAATATGACAACAGTAGGTATCAGGTAGCTGAAGGGACGAGCACTGGCTGCCAACTCTACAGGCATGTCCAACTCTGTGTTCTGAATCACAGTACAGAAACTATAGATAATCTGATCCAGAGAAATGATGTCCTGACGTCAAGTATACGTAGGATTTTTGGGTTCTAACCTGAAGTGTATACATTTGCTTATAAATGACATCTGGTGAAAGCTGACCATATTGCAATTGATATATGAAAGCTGCTTTACTCTACAGTAATCCTAACCTTCTGTCCTAACCTTCTGTGGCTTATCGATCAGCATGCATTCATTAATGATGCAGGTGTGTGTGCAAGTGTGTCTGTCAATTAGTGTGTGGAGGGGATTAACTGTCTCTGGAGAGGCCTAATTAACAAAAAACAGAGAAAAAAACCACCACCAACAACAACAACATTTTATATCATATTTTGGGTTGTTTAGTTAGCAGAAAAAGTTTGTAAATATACATTGAAATGTATCCATGTGTCAAGGCCAGGTTTGGATGTCTCTCAGACAAACACAGATGCATTCTCACTGAGCATGAACCCCGTCTCCGCCCCACACACACACACACACACACACACACACATATATATTCTGTGCGGGGGTAGTTACAGCATGTGATGTATACAAGCTCTTACAACTTTTAAATATGTGGGTGGACAACACAACGTAAACACAGACTGGAACAAACAGGACATTCTGCCTTTATAGATGTGAAGCATCAACAAAATTAGGGTTAATTAAAAACACAGAGGAGTTCCAGGATTACAGCTACTTTACAAACGCAGTAAGAGGGTGGCAGATAAAAGTTTTCAAAGGATGCAGGGAAACCAACAGGATTTACACTGAAGCCATGGACGGGGGATGTGCTAAGGAGGGCACGGGGGTGGGGACTTCTGTTCTTCTCTTCTTTCTGCCCTTTCCCTGATGACTTCGACTGAAACAAATCCATTTTACAACCTACAGGAGGGGTAATGGAGGGGTGAGATGGTAAAGGTGGGAAAAAGAAGAAGAAGGATGAGGTGACAGACAGCAACAGAGGGAGAACAGGGAAACAAAGAGCATAAAAACAAGGATGAGTGGTTACATTGTACAATAGCAAGTAGCCACAAATAGATTTATTCCAGGTTACCCATCACTCTCACACGCACGCACACACTGAGCCCTAAGGATTCAAGCTTTGTCGGAGCGTAAAGTGGAGACTCTCACACAGACGTTCACCCGTCTCAGCTCCTGCTCTCTATTTTATTCACACACACATACATATATATTCTAACCTTCAGCAACACTAACTACTGGACAAAAAAGAAATGGGCAAAGTGTGATTCTCTGAAGGACCCTAAAACAGAACACCCCTGACACAGTATACAGTATCTTCATTAAACAGCCAAACACTATGGAGGCCAAACAATGTACCGTCACAAGGTCCGATCATCCACTTCTTTCCAAAATCAAAATAAATTAACAGTTTATAGAGTAAAATGTGAAAAGTGGCAGTTTCTGAAGCAGTGTTTTGTGTTTCACATTTTCAATAATGTTGTCCTTCGTGTTACAAATTAATATATGTATTTTTTTTTCATTTAATGTTTTATTTCAGATTTACTAAATTTTACAGAGAAATGGGAGAATCAGAAAATCAGGGCAAAGCAACTAAGAACAACATGGGAAGAAATCTGATAAGCTAATACAGAATGACACGCAATGTACAGCGCTGTGTGGCACACTTCACTCAGAGACAGACAGGCAAAGGCTGAGACACAGGGAGAGAGTGAGCAGAAGAGAGGAACATGGAGGGCATAGAGGGAGAGATTAGATATTTTGGAGTGAAACCTTTTTAAAGAGGCAAAAACAAAAGAGGTTTGAAGAAAAAGACATAGGTGCACAGTATATCAGAGCAGAAAGGATTGAAAGAGTGATGGGAATCCTGACCCGGCAGTCTGAGGTGCAACATTTCAAATCACAGACAGAGAGACTGCCGTCAGGTCTGTATGCCACTCCCTACAGATGAGGGGAAAAGGGGACAATATAGAAGAGGGGAAGGAGAGTGTGCTCTTACCTCAGCTTTGACTTCTTCCACCAGCTTTGCCTGTGACCACTCTCTTTTCATACAGCCACTGAACGTCAGAGGAGAATAGAAAGCAGTGAGCCAGGGGCAAGTGATCGGGACAGAGTGGAATGCTTTGCAGGGGCAGTCAGAGAGAGAGAGCAGGAAAGGGAGGGAGAAGTTAGGGAGGTGGGAGGAGAGGGAGGAAGTAGGAGTGCGATCATTTGTTTCTCTGACAAAAACTCTCAACTTGACTACGAAGGATGAGATGAGAAAGGAAGAATAGAGGAGATTTTATTTTGGGAAAAAAAGGGAAATGAAGATCATAGATGATCACCTCAGATCACCTCTAAACATTTACTTCTAGTCCATCACGAACACACACACACACACACACACACAAGTATTCAGCGCCGTATATGCATACACACACCTACGCACAGAGAGCAGATAGTACGCATAGACATACAGCTCTCACTCTCTCTCTATCCATCCGTGTTAGGATTTTAGCAGATACTGGAGCACTGTCAATCACAGGTTACAGGTTACAGGTTACAGTGATAGTTTTGTACTCGTGTGTTTTTGTGTGTGACACTGTCAAATCTCTTGACGAATAATTTCATTCGTTTTACAGCAGGTGGCGCTTCAGCCCTATTGTGGGCATTGTAAAGAAGGCTGCGGTTCTCCGACACTAAATACTGAAGGCAACATGGTTTGCTTCCACTGACAAAGTCTACAAAGTACACAAAATGCTATAAGCAATTTAAACCATGTGAAAACCTATGAAAGAAAACACACCACAATGTGAAGATGAATGAGAGCAAAAGAGACCCGAGCTCTCTGTCACGCGACAAATGAAACGAATCTGCGAGAATGAAGCGAAAGATTAGTTCACAGAGAGTTATTCATTTATAGTGAAAGATTAGTTCACAGCGAGGGAACTAATAGAGAGTGTGTCATCTGACATCCGGCCGTATGTATTGGACACTAGGGTGAAGAGAGGGGCTGAGCTGTAAAATGATCACC